TGAAGAATCGAAGAAAATAAATCACTAAATCAATTATGATCCTAATCATGATGAATGGACAATATCACATGATTTTCGAAACTTTTTTGGGTGGCGATTTTACCCCGGTCGGCCCTATCTGTAATTATTTTTATTTTGGGCCCGTATTTGTAATTATTTTCATTTTTGGGCCCTTATATGTAAATTTCCCTAAAAAAAATTTCATGTAATAAATATGTAATTAATTCGGACACAATTTCGTCATTCACACTTAATATTAAAAAAAAAGCAATAATGTTACCAATATTTTATTGTAACAGTATTAACGTTAGAGAAATATATATCGCATTCACAAATATATAATATAACATATCGGTTTTATATTACATGTAAATCCAATTCTGTTCTCCAATTTACCGGTTTTATATTACACGTAATAGTAAATCCAATTCTGTTCTTCAATTTACAACCGGGCTCCAGCAGCTAATTACGTATTACACGTTTTGGTAAGCCAATGGTGAACGTGTTACAAGGCTAAATTTGTCATTATTAAAATAACAATAGAGGTCATGAGAGTTACATATACTAATACTTTAACAGGATGGTGATTGTGATTAATGAGTCGAAATATGCCTAAATCAAAAAAATTTCAAAAATGAAGGTCTAAATTTTAGTAGGTTGAGGTTAGAATTTAGGGATACAATTTGTTAGAAAATATTGCTATATTTAAATTATAAAAACTATATTTAAAGAAAATTAACAGTATCTAATCAAATACCGACAATATTTAAAAATTTTTTATTTCCAATTATTTTGAACATACTCATTTTAACGATTTTTGCTCTCCAATAATTCTGTGCTTATTTGTTTTGTTTCACATGACTATATACAGTGTGTGTATGCGAATATTTAATAATATAAATATTGCGATGTAGTTAATTTTAATCAACGAAATTTATAAATATGAATTATCTTCAAGAATCTTACTCTATTACGATTCAGCACATAAATTGTAAAGTGATTGTCATTACTGATGATGGAGAATCATCATATACTTTGGAGAATTTTGATAAATCAATGAAATTGGAAGAAGTGCGCAAACGTTTATTTTTTGATAAGAATGTGTTGATGGGTCAAAATGCAAATTTTTGTTATAATAACAAGAAGAAAATACCTATTACTGCCGAAAACAATTGCGTGCTTGAACTAATATTGATTCCACAAGATGATGCTTTCTACTTTTACATAACTAAAGACAGATCAAAACCTAGTTTTCCAGAAATCGCACAACGACTTGATTTAGATAAGGGACTTAAGAAACAAGAAGACGGTACTATAATAGCTGCAGGTGCGCCAGCATTTCGTATAAAAAATCTGCAGATGACGGATGTTACTATTGAAAATCATTTTGAGTCTATTACGGGGA